AAAAAAAAAAAACAGATTGGATACTGTAGTTGGCTAACCTATTGGAAGAGATCCATATTTGTGCCCATTCCAAAGAGAGGTGACCCAACAGAATACAGAAATCATCTAACAATATTATTATATCACATGCAAGTAAAATTTTGCTGAAGATAATTAAAAATTTGCTACAACAATACATCAACAGGGAACTGCCAGAGATTCAAACCGTGTTCAGAGAAGAACGTGGAAGTAGGGATATATCATTGCTGATGTCAGATGGATCTTGGCTGTAAGCAGAGACTATCAGAAAGATGTTTCCTTGTGCTTTATTAACTGTACAAAGGATTTTGAATGTGCGGATCATGACAAATTATGGATAACATTATAAAGAACACTTAATTGATTGTGCTCATGACAAACCTGTAAGTAGACCAAGAGGCAGTCATTAGAACACAACAAGGGGTAACTTAATGGTATAAAATCAAGAAAGGTTTGTACCAGGGTTGTATCCTTATTCAAACTATTTGCTGAGCAAATAATTCAAGAAGCTGGATTATATGAAGAAGAACATGGCATCAGGATTAGAGGAAGGCTCATAACTACCTGTGATATGCTGGTTGCTTGCTGAAAACAAAGAGAACATAAAATACTAACTAATGAAGATCAAAGACTACAGTCTTCAGTATTCAGTAATCCTTCACAAGAGAATTTTACCTCAATGTAAAGAAAACAAAAATCCTTGCAACTGAATCAATAAATGTTATGACAGATGTAGAAACGACTGAAGTTGTAAAAGATTTCATTTTGCTGAGACCCACAATCTGTATCCATGGAAGCAGCAGTCAAGAAATCAAATGGCATATTGCATTAAGCAAATCTGTTGTAAAGAGCAAAGATGACAGTTTGAGGACTAAGGTATGCCTGATCCAAGCCATGGTATTTTCAATCACCTCATATGGATGTGAAAATTGGACAATGAATAAGGAAGACCATAAAGGAATCGATGCATGTGAAATATGGTATTGGAGAAGACTATTAAAATTATCATGGACTGCCAGAAGAACAAACAAAGCAGTCCTGAAAGACATGCAGCCAGAATGTTCCTACAAACATTCCGATGGGAAGACATCATCTTTCATACACTTTACCAGAAAAAAACAATCCCTGGAGAAGGACTTCATGCTTGGTAAATTGGAGGGTCAATGAAAAACAAGACTGATCCTGCCCCACAACAAGATATAGACTGACACAGTGGCAAAAACAATGAGCTCAAACAACAATTTTAAGGACGGCGTTGGACCACGCAGTGTTTTGTTCTGTTGTGTACAGGGTGGCTAGACAGCACGTAACAACAATAACAATGAAGTGTTTCAAAGAGCCTTGGTGGCATATTGGTTAAATGGTTGGCTACTCCCCAAAACCCTGGCAGTATGAACCAAGAGCCCTTCCACAGGAGACTGATGATGGAGATTACAGCCTTGGAAACCCCGTGGGGCAGCTCTACTGTGTCCTATAGAGTAGTTATGAGTCGGAATCAACAGCTAGTTTTATCAAGTGTTTGGTAGGTTTTAGAGTAGCCTGAAGGAGCCCTAAAGTCAGAGTGGTGAAGCACTCAGCTGCTAACCAAAAGGTTGGTGGTTAGAATCCACCAGCCATTCCACAGGATATAAATGTGGCAATCTGCTTCCATAAAGATTTACAGCCTTGGGAACCCCAGAAATGCACTTGTACTCTGTCCAATAGCATTTATGACTGAAATCTACTCAGTGGCAATGATTTACAGTGGCCTGATGGGTTATTTAAGGCTGCTCAGGCAAGAAGACGTCTCTGAATGGACACTTGAATGATAAGAAGAAACCAGTCACGCAAAGTCGTTGTTTTTTTCAGTCATTTCAACCATTTTGACAGGTACAATCCAATGTCACCAACTACACTCCCCAGCTGCAGATCCAATGCAACTACCCATTTCCAAATCTTTACTCTCTCTCTATTCTTTTCCTTTTTTTTTTTCTTTACTCCCTCCCCACGCCCCCCACTTCTTTTTTATTTGCAGGGACAATGGCTTGTCCTAAGGAAAATGTAAGTATATATTGTTTCCCTTCCAGTATATGAAAAAAAAGAAGACAGAAAGTTCCTTTTTTTCCTTTGTCTTCTTTTTCCCTTCCTTTTCTTTTTAACTGCCTTCCCTATCACCCAAGTTAGCATGTGAGTAATTATTCACTCTACCCAGTGAGTAATTCTCTCTTTATTCCCACCCCTGGTGACTATTATAGAATGTTTATTATCAAATGAAAACCTCATCTTGACATTTTACAGTAATGTTCTCATACAATATCTGTCCCTTTGCATGAGATTTAAGGGAGAATCTTTGAGGTAGAGGGAACCATTGGTCGAAAAGCTCCATGGAGTAAAAGGTTTGGTGTGTTCAAGAAACAGAAAGCCAACCATACAACTGAGAAAGAGGTGACTGCATCCTAATTGTAAACCAGGAATAAGTCTAATTCCAGAGATCCCAAATCGAGTGTTTTTCCTTATATGGTATCAGTGTCGACAGATGAAGGGAGGCACTAAGCAGTTGGGTATGTAGCCTGGAACTCCAAAGGTCACTCTAGGGGGCTGAATGGTGGCCCCCAAAGGTACAAGGTGCTTTTTCCTGGAAGCTGTGGTTGTTACTTTACCTGGTTTTACAAATGCAATTAAATTAAGGATTTTGAGATGAGAAGATTCTCCTGAATTATCTGGGTAGGTCCCAAACTGGCATCATAATTATTCATATTTAAAAAAAAAAAAAAAGGCAGAGAGAGAGCTGATGCATCTACAGAGGAGAAGATGATATGAAGACAAAGGCAGCAACTGGTTCAATGAAGCCATAGGCCAAAGAATGCCAGCCGCCACCAGAAACTGGCAAAGGCAAAGGATCTCCTCTAGAACCTTCAGAGGGAGAGCAGCCCTGGCGACACCCTGATTTCAGCCCAGTAATACCGGTTTCAGAACTCTCATCTCTAGAACTGGGAGAGAATATATCTCTATTGTTTTTAAGCCACTGGGTTTGTGGTAATTCCTTACAGCGGCAACAGAAAACTAACTTAAGCACTTTCAACTAGAACTACGGATTTGAACATCCTCAGCACACAGCTAGCAGCTGAAGCTCTGTGAGTGAAGAAATGCATCATGAGAAACCACACGAAGAGAAATTTGGAGCTAGAACTTTGAAGACCACAGGTATAAGGGGTTGCCAGTTTCTAGGTAAAGATGATGAAAGTAACTAACCTCAAGGTTAGCTAGTTTGAAACTACCAACAGTTTCACAGGAGAAACATGAAGCTTTCTGCTCCCATAAAGATTTACAGCCTCAGGGTCACTATGAGTCAGAACTGACTCCACAGCACATCACCACCACCATCCTTAAGTATGAGAAGAGCCAAAATCACTACACATCTGAACAAAGCTTCCAGAATGAGGATATAGAAAACAAAAAAGGCTATTTGAAGGGGACTAGGAAGGGAAATGAAGACGTCAGAAAATTCGCCTCAGATAAGAAAAACATCACATATTATAACCCCCATCTCAGTCCCAGCCCTGAACCTATTAAAGGGAGCTTCCCTGGGGTGTGACCTGCATCCCCTTTTATCTTACAAAAGGAGTGAGACGGGAACAGAGTGGAAAGGGTCTACTACCACTAAGAAAGAAGAGCCCGGACAGAGTGAGTCCTTTGGCCCTGGGGTCCCTGCACTGAAAACCTCCTAAATCCAGGGAAAGGTTGATGCAAAAACACACGGAGATCTCCGAAGGACACTGCTGGGCCCACAGGTATTGAAAGGATACAGGACTTTCCCTCAGAGCCAACAGAGACAGAAAGCCTGCCCTAGAGCTCGTGCCCTGAATTTGGACTTGTAGCCTCCTAAACTGTGAGAAAACAAATATGTCTGTTAAAGCCACCCGATTGTGTATTCTGTTATAGCAGCACTAGAGAACTGAGAAAGTAGTACAAAAAGATAAGGAAAAGGAAAACTCACAGAAAATTAGCTGACCAATGTAAGACGTCTGACATCTGAAATGGAGTTCCAGAAAGGGTGAATGGAATAAATATATTAGAGCAAAGACAGAATTCAAGACCTAAAGGCAGATGCCCCTGTCCTAGATAGGGCCCCAGGTGCATACGGGTGTGGGAAGATCAGTCCTCCTGGGTGTCTCACCTCAGAAACGCAGAAATGGCCTTCAAGGCTTCAGCAGCCACCTCCAGCACGGGGCTACTCACTGCCTCTCGCAGGGCACAGCCCGCATCTCGGCACATGGCTGAGCTTGTGAACAGCTTGATCTTCTCCGGTTGCCTGAAAAAATTGAGGGGCAAGTGAGTGAACTCCCATCACTGTCAGCCCTGCCCCGGCCCAGGAATAAACCTTTCACCTTTTCCCTCATCCACGCTGGCTCCTGCAGCCTGACTTCCCACCGTTTACTCACCGAGTCAAGATCTCAGCAAAGAGCAGCAGGCCCTGCTTGTGAAGCTCCAGGTTGTTCACCTTCAGGCTGCCCTGGAGGCTCCTCACCATAGACTCAATGCCTGCCTCAGGATGACATGGCAGGTGCCAGGGGTCAGCGCTCTGTCAGTCCACCCAGAAGTGAGAGGGACTGGGCAACACACACTGACTGGAGCGATGAGGGCCTGACAGGACTGAGCTGACAGCACCCATGGTGAGTCGGGCTCCCATCTGATTCATGCCACCCCAGAGTTCACACAGGACCCCACTACCAACCGTACACCGTGTGGCACTTGGAGAAGAAGAGTGGCTCTTCTGCCAGGAGTATCAAGCAACTATAGATGGACCAGACAAGCACTTCGCTGGAAGAGTAAAGATACTCAAAGAGGAACTCTGGCCAGGGAGAGGGAGGAAAGCAGTGAGCGAAGGCTGTGTGATCACAACCCTGCACTAACGCCAGGGCCCAGGTAGACTGAGCACTTCACTCCTGTGATTTCATCTGTTCACACATGCTGCCCAGAAGAAACGGTCACCCGTTCATGGGATAAACCTGGAAATGTCCTCAGGGCTATGGCCCAACCTCTTCTTTTTAACAGAGGAGAAACTGACCCCCAGAGAGAGGAGCTATTAGCACTAAGGATGGAACTGGAATTCAGGTCTCCTAATTCTCCAAATGGATGCAGAGAAAGGGGCATGCAAATGCAGAGACAGACTTGAGTTTAGGCCCTGTCTCTGCAGAGGACTATCCTTCTCGACAGAGCCAGTTACTTCCCTTCTGGGTCCCAACTTCCTTACTCATAAAATGGCAAAGCTGAGGCCCTTAGCATGGTAACATTTACAGTGTACCCCAAGGAAATCTTCCTGGCTCTTACCAGGCCCTGAGGAAACATTAGTTCCTTTTGCCTTCCTACTCCACAGTACTTGCTGTGATTTTTATTCCTACTGGTGAAATAAATGATGATCAGTAACAAATGGCTCGAGGTTATGTAAGAGTTCTGCAGTGAGAGAATTCAGACGTCAAGGAGCCTGCTTCTTCTACAGTTAGTCATGGGCCTGTCACCAGCCCACCCCTCCATCCTAGGTTCTCAAAGGACCCCCAATAAAGCAGCTGATACTGCCTGTGCTGGGGTCCTTGGAGGAGCAGATGAGAAGGACGCCCACCTGGTATGTCAGCATGGATGAAGGCTGGTGCGTGCTTCGCTGGGGAGTGGACCAGGACTGCAGTTATGCAATGGACACTGGCCACCTGCAGAGTCTCATCTCTAGACAGAAGAAGCTGCAGAAACAGGCAGGGACAAAGGACCCAGTCACACCACCGCAGGACAAAGAGCCCAGTCACACCACCGCAGGACCAAAAGGAACCGGCTTGAGCACCTGAGCAGGAGCCTAATTCAGTTCTGGGTCCCTCAGGCAGTTCTAGACACCAAGCGAGGGTGGTCCTCAGGGAGAGTGGTCACTTCTATGGAAAGCCACTCTGAGCAGCAGCAGGGGAAAAGGCAAACAACGTTTACCATGATGTAAACTCCACAGTGACGCTCAAATAACACTAAGACCATCACCAAGAAGTTTCCAGGCCTCCCTTGATGAGACTGTTATCCTTACAAAGGCCTCTATGCAAGGTTGGTTATTGGGAACTTGGTGTCTAGGTTGGGTTCTCCAGAAGAGCAAAACCAGGGAAGCAAATACATAGATAAACAAGAGTAAGTCCAAAAGTATTGCTGTTAGGATTCCAGTTCATGCATGCATGAGCTGATTCCAAATGAACTGTGTTTGAACATGGCTCTGCGATCTGTGGATGGCAACAGACAAGGTCTCTCAACAGTTATTGTCTTCCTGCTGTTGTTGTCAAGTGCCCTTGAATCGGTTCCGACTCATAGCAACTCTGTACAGGGTTTCTGAGGAACGACTGGTGGGTTTGAATCTCTGACCTTGCAGTTAAAACTGACCTTGCAGTCCATTGTTTTATCTGGTGGGTGGTGGTTATGTGCCATGGAGTCAGTTCCAATTCATAACAACTCTGTATAGGGTTTCCAAGGCTGTAAATCTTTACAGGAGCAGAAAGCTTCACCTTTCTCCCATGAAACCCTGCTGGTAGTTTTGAATTGCTGACCTTGAGATTAGCAGCCCAACTTGTAATCACTATGCTACCAGAGCTCCTTATTGCTTTATCTAGGGTGCCTTTAAAAATACTCCAGAGAGCAGCTAAGGACTCTAGACTCATGGAAAGACTCAGAGAAAGGCTATGTGCTGATGGCCAGAAGGCAGGCTTGCAGAATGTGCCCTTTGGTTGTTTAAATGATAATACATTCCTGAGTGGTTTTGTGTACATACCCCCATGCAAAAAAGCAAAAACAGGGAATAGAAGCAAATACTGATGCATGGAGGAGACTGTAGTCATTGCAACAAAACAATGAGTGTAAAACCGATGTTCTCCCATGTAAACTATCACTCGATTCAAAATAAAAACTTTAAAAAATAATAATCCATAGCAAAGACCAATCAAAACAGTGACTTCCAACAAGATCCACTGAGCCAGTTAGACCTAAGGCACAGAGGTCAGCTCAGAAGGTTACGAGACTGTTTTTTTAGATTCCAAAGAAGTAATCTTGATAGATTTTCTCAAAGGACACAGGACAATCACAAGGGCTTATTATAAACAAGTTATAAGAAAACTGAAAACGGCGCTGGTGAGAAAAAGCCCAAGGCAATTGAACCAAGAAGTTTCTGTTTCTGTCACAACAATGCACTGGCTCATTCCTCCAGGGTAGCAAGTGCTGTCCTATAAGAATTGTTGGGAAATGGCATCCAATTCACCCTACAATCTTGATCCTTTGCCTTCAGATGTCTTTTTGTTCACAAATCAAAAAAGCATTTAAAAGGAGCATGATTTGAGTCCCTCGAGGATACTAAAATTGTCATTTAATACGGTGTAAAAAGAAAACCACAGAATTCTCTGAAGAAGGATTAGAAAGATGGAAACACCACCTTCAAAATTTATGGACCTAGATGGAGGATATGTCAAGAAACAATGGCTTTGCACTTTGAAACTTTGTTTAATAAAGGTTTCTATGATTCTGCAGCAATACTTTTGGACTTAACCAGAACATACAGAGATTTATTTCAAGGAAATGGCTCACTCAGTTGTGGAGGCTGGCCAAGTCCTAAATCCTAGGATCAAAGGTCAAGCTGAAGGATTCTCCTGATTCACCAAGTATCAGAGGCTAACAAATCCAAAATTGGCAGATCAGGCAGAAGGCTGCTGGATCACTTCCCAAGAATCATAGGTCAGAGTGGAATGGAGGCTTGAGAAAGCAAGTTTTGAGAGACCATCAGAATCTGACTAGAGAAAAGCTGACCTTAATGCCATCGATGGAGTAAAGCTTTTAAGGCCTTCACTGCTGATAGGGCACAACTCAAAATGAGAAGAAACAGCTGCAACCATCCAGTAATAATTGGAACATGGAATGCACAAAATATGAATTGAGGAAAACTGGAAGTCATCAAAATGGAATGTAACAGATAAAGGTCTATAGTCTAAGCACTGCTGTTATTGTTGTTAAGTGCAGTCAAGTGGTTCAAACCAACCCTGACTTCTAAGGAGAGTTCTGGCTGTACATCTTATGACACATATTTGTTTGGTCTTCCAGCTCTCCATGGCACTTCCAATATTCTCCTCCAACACCATAATGCAAATGCATCAACTCTTTTATGGTCTTCCTTATTTATTGTTCAACTTTCACATGTAAAGAAGGATAATTGAAAATGCCATGGCTTGAGTCAGGTACACCTTAGTCCTCAACTGAATGTAATGCATCATTTGATGCTTCCATGAGTCCATGCAAAATGAAGTCTTTGTTAACTTCAAACTCTCCCAGTTTATCATGGTGTTACTTATTGGCCCAGTTGTGAGGGTTTTTTTTGTGTGTTTTTTTGCCTTTAGGTACAATCCATACCATAGTCTTTGATCTTTGTTATTGTTGTTATGTGCCATGGAGTCGGTTCTGACTCATAGCGACCCTGTACAGGGTTTCCGAGGCTGTAAATCTTTACAGGAGCATAAAGCCTCATCTTTCTCCTGCGGAACAGCTGGTAGTTTCAAACTGCTGACCCTGAGGTTAGCATCCGATTTGTACCCACTCAGTAAGAATTTTAAGCCCTCTTCACTTTTAGCAAGCAAAGTTGCATCATCTGCATATCATAAGTTGTTAATGAGTCTTCCTCAAATCCTGATAACACATTCTTCTTCATATAGTTTATCTTTTCAGATTATTTGTTCATCATACAGATTGAATAAGTAGGGTGAAAGAATCCAGCCCTGGTACACACCTTTCCTGATTTTAAACCATTCCATATCCCCTAGTTCTGTTTGAACCACTGCCTCCTGGTCTATGTACAGGTGAGTCATGAGCACAGTCTAGTGTTCTGGAACACCCATTCTTCGCAATGATATCCATATCTTGTCATGAGCTACATACTCGAAAGCCTGTGCATGGTCAAGAAAGTACAAGTAAACATCTCTCTGGTATTCTCTGCTTTCAGCCAAGATCCATCTGTCAGCAATGATATCCCTCATTACAGAATAACAAGAAAGAAAGTCAATATAAAGGCGGAGGATTTAAACCACATAATCAACCAACTTGACCTCATAGACTTATACAGAGCATTGAACCCAACAATGGCACAAAACACATTCTTTATCAGTGCTTATAGAACATTCTCCAGAATAAACCATATGTTAGGCTACAAAGCAAACCTCAAATAGATTTAAAAGCATCAAAATACTCCAAATAGGTGAGTTGATTGGGAATGCAATGGGAAGCACCTTCAAATGCTACTTGATAGTAGCAAAAATGCTACTTGATAATAGCATTAATACCTGAAATTCCTCCAGAGACACGGTGTTTTTGGTTTACTATTTTCCTACGTAGGGCCAGTTCTAATGGATTCCACTTGACTTCCTACCATAAAGCCCTTACTCCGCATGTCAGGGATCTAATATGGGGGTTCTGCCAGTTCCTGAGCATGTCTATTCCAATTAAGCTTTCTAGAACTGGGGAAGTCACTACCGGACGGGCTTGGGAACCCACTGGACCCACCGTGAGATGGACTTGAACTAGGACTCCATTAGTAATCTGACCTCCACATGCTCCCACTTTGATTAGTGGGCCATGTTGATGTTTTGAGTCTCCTGGAATTAACGTCAGTTCAGAGTCAATGTCCCATAATGCCTGAAAAATCTGATTCTTTTTTGCCAATCAACAATGACTCTCATAAAAAGCTGGGAGAAAGACTAACAAGTGTAACTATTTGGCAGTGTAGGGCTATCTCTCCTGAAGGCGAGCCGGTCTGTCCTTCACTCAAGGGGTTGTGGGTCTGTAAACTGGCTCCAGTCTGGGATTGATGAGGGGACTCTCTATCCTGGCGAGTCAACCCTTCTTTTAAACTAGAATTCTTTTTCTTATACAGATCAGGCAAAAAATTAACGTTCTCATCTATTTCACTCCTAGAGACACCATGATTACATATCTAATACTATGAATTCACACAAGTCAGACTATTCTGATTGCTGCCTTGACTCTGTTGTCCATTACACAGTAATCACATTCACCTTGGTTTTGGCAATTAAATGCCACCACTTGAGCCCTACAACCCCAAGGTCCAATCATCCCTACTCTAATTAGGTGTCTTAATTCAGGTAGGTCAGTTTTCCCACTGTCAAATACGATTTACATGAAATAGGAATCACAACAGTCTTCAAGGATACTGGGCTCCCTTTACTAGTTGTGGTAAAAGGTCGCATTTTGAGCCCTCCATGGGTGGGTCTATAGGTCCAATCTGATAAATCCACTCTAAAAATCCACTCTGATAAATTCATGCCAATTTCCCTAAGCCTTTAGAGATCTTCTTTACAGAATATATATACTACAGTATACCAAGGCACTTCAACTTGATTTAGTATAGGCCACTGATCAACCCATGCTCAGTGAACCAACCAAATAAACTACTAGGCCCTTTTTCTAACCACGCAAGCAGAAACACTGAAGAAACTGCCAACTGGGACCGAAATCAATAAACTCAGACTGATCCAACTTTATGCTGTTTATACCATTAAGCCACACCTATTGCCCAGTTTCGTTCCTTTGGAGTGGAGCATATCTTCTCCTGGGTCACACTTTGTACTTCACCTCTTGGGGCTTGCTGGGACTTAAGTCTAGTTATAGATCTAGAAGCAAGAATGTGAAGTGGGGGTGGGTCCTGGGAAAATTCAGCAATGTGTTGTAAGACATCTGTCTCAGGCACTGCCACAAGAGATATCTCAGACAAAGACTCTTGAGACACACTTGGGTAAATGTCATCAAGTGGGATGGAAAGGATAATGGTTTCACTGGGGAGGGTAACTTAGCAACCAAAGATGGTGTGTTCTCTTTAGATGGGAATAAGAGAACTAGCTCTGTTGACAAAAGTGATTCAGTAGAATCTAGCGGCTCAATGTTCCCAGATTCTTAGTTGTTATAGATTGAATTATGCCTCCCAAAAATATGTGTTGTAAATCCTAAACCCTATATCAGAGGTTTGACAATGAATAAGAAAGACCATAAAAGAACTGATGCTTTTGAATTATGGTGTTGGAAAAGAATGTTAAAAGTACCATGGACTGCCAGAAGAACAAACAAATCTGTGTTGAAGTATAGTTAGGATGCTCCTTAACTGCCTGGATGGTGAGACTTGGTCTCTTATACTTCCAACATGGTATCAGGAGAGACCAGGCCCTGGAGAAGAACATCAAGGTTGGTAAAGTGGAGGATCAGCAAAAACGAGGAAAGCCCCCAATGAGATGGACTGGCACAGTGGCAGCAGCAATGGGCTCAAGTAAAGCATGACTGTGACGTGGGCAGGCGCAGGACCATCAGTGTTTCATTGTGTTGTGCAAAAAGGTCACTATGAGTCAGAATGGACTCAAGGACACCTAACAACAACAACAATCTCTATGGTTGTAATCTCATTTGGGAATGGGCTCTGTGTTATGTTAATGGAGCAGGATTAAAGTACAAAAGAGATTAAACAAGAGAACAGAGATGGGGAAGACAGATGCCAAGCTGCATGAAGATCACTGTGCTACAGAAACTCAGATGAGGCAAGGACCTCCCCAGAGCCACTGACAGTGAGAGAAAGACTCCCCCTACAAGAGCTGAGCCCTCAATTCCGATAGCTAACCTCCTACACAGTGAGAAAATTGATTTCTGTTTGTTAAAGCTATCCACTGTGGTATTTCTGTTACAACAGCGCTAGATAACTAAGACAGTTCCGAAGACAGAAAAAATGCTACCAATTAAACTGATGATCAAATGAGACACTATAGATGATAAGATGTTTTTAATATTATAACTACTGAAATGTGGAGAAACAAGTATGTCTTAGAATTAAGAAAATGTGATATTTTCCCTTTAAGTAAAACAATCATTCTGGCTTTAACATGCATATTCGTTTACCGTGTTGAGAAAGACAGTCCAACCCTGTTTTTTCTGTTACAAAAAATTGATTATGAAAAATCCATCTTTTAAAAAATCCAAATTACTGATCAAGACCTACAAGGCTTGCATGGCCTGCCCCTGCTGACTCAGTTTCACCTTGGGTCACTTCCTCTAATATCTCACCCACCCTCCCATCCCATGCGTTTCTAGAACACACCAAGACCTTCCCTTCCAGTCTTTACTTGCTGTTTCCTCTGCCTGAAATGCTTTTCTGCCCACTCTATACATCACTGGCTTATTTTCATTCTTCAAGCATTAGTTTAACTCTCAGCTCTTCAGAGAGGTCCTGCCTGAGTACTCAGCCTGGAGATGGCTGCCTTCATTCACTAAGCTATCTCACATCCTGGTATTTCCTGCATGTGAGTTGGTTCTGACTCATCGCGACCCTGAATAGGGCTTCTGAGGAGAGACTAGCAAGCTTGGACTGCTGACCTTGTGGTTCAAACCAACCTTGCAATAGCGCACTAACCTGCAGCACTTATTTCCTTCATTTGGTTGGTTATGTGCCGTGTAGTCGATTTCGACTCATAGCAACCCTGAGTAAGTTTTCCGAGGCTGTAAATCTTTAAGGGAGCAGAAAGTCTCATCTTTCTCCCATGGAACAGGTGGTAGTTTCGAACTGCTGACCTTGCAGTTCACAGCCCAATTCGTAACCACTACACTACCAATCATATTCTATAATTACTCTGCTTACTCATATGTTTATTATCATCTTTCCCCCAGGTAGACTATAAGCTGAGCCAGGGCAGGAAACTGTCTATTTACATACGACAGCATTCCCAGTGCCTAACACAATCCTGGTGTAGCGCTGCATATGAACACGCTGGGCTGCAAGGTCCGTCTGAACCGCAAGGCCAGTGGTTCAAGCTCACCAACTGCTCCTTGGAAACCCTACACAGGGTCACTGTGAATCTGAACCAACTCAACAGCACTTAACACAGTATTAATGCTCAATTGTCAATGAAACAGGATATTCCCGTGAATGTGAATCTTTGGAGAGTAAGTTGATTTTCAGCAAAAAAAGTAGCATTAGTCTCTGAGGTCCTGGGGTGGCATTGCAAGATAAGCAATGGACTGCTAACTGCAAGATTAGACATTCAAAGCCACCAGCTGCTCCTTAGAAACCCTATACAAGGCCACTATGAGTCGGATCTGACTCAGCGGCACTTAACAACAATCAAAATACAAAAACAATGGCATTAGGAAACATGTCAGTCCTACGTCTATTTGAAAGTTTGATATTTCTTCATCATGAATTTTTTTGTATTATTTTTAATATTATAATTAAATATTATTTATCTTTTTTGCTGAGCTTTTTAACACCATTTAAAATTTTTTGCATCCCAGGGAAATACTTCACGTGCTTCACCCTAATCCCAATCCTGCTGGTTGCTGCAATAAAATAAAACCATGATCATCCAAAATTACCAGTGGAAGCTCAGTCTCTACCTATGGATGGAGGGTGGAACCTCTAAAGCCAGGTTCATACTCCTACAAAGTTGTCACTGCCACGACCATTTCTAGTAGCTCTCCTCAGAGGACCACAAGACCTATTTTGCTCATACAGGATGAAGTGTTCTAAGTAGATGTTACCACAGGATTCAGGATGGAGCAGAGAAACGAACACAGAAAGGAAGCTCACATGAGATTATCTGGTTCAGAGACACAGACCTCAATCTCCACAGTTCACAAACCCTTAGTGGCCCATTCCAGAGGAACCCCAGGAAACCAGAGGAGAAGCAGTTTGCTCTGGCTGCTTTGTAACATCTACCTTCTCTATCCACGACTGTCCCTTCCCCACTCTGGCCAGGGCTCCCCTCCTTTCTGAAGAAGAACCCCAGTTTGGTCAATTCATCTCCAATATCACATGAGGATCTATAGTTTCTGCCAGATCCTGCTTTGAGCACTGGGGAGAGAAAATGGTTAGACTCAGGTCCTTTCTTGGGGAAACTCCCACTCTCTCATTCACAAGATGGTCAGATCAGCCCTGTGACAGAGGGGCATAGTCTGCCTAAAGGAGCTGAGGCAACAGGGGAGCCCTGCAGAACTTGGCTGAGTCAGAGATCAAAAGACAAAGAGCATGCTGACAACCGGGGCAGGCTTGTAGTGTATACCCTTTGGTTGGTTGATGATGCATGGAGAGGACTGTAACCATGGCAATGAAATGATATACGATAAGATGAATGTAAAACTTATGTTCTCCCATGTAAACTATCATATAATTCACAATAAAACATTAAAAAAAAAAAAAAAAAGACAAAGAGCAGGGGAAGACTCGCAGGCTGAGCATCTGCACAGGCTCGGGGCACAGTGATCAACACGGGCAGGACCTGGAGAAGGTGCCCAAGGCTAGAGCACTAGATTTTAGAGCACAGGAGACAGGTAAGTGAGGCTGAAGGGACGAGCAAGTCTAGATAGAGAAGTATAAAACTTGAGTTTTGTACCTAAAAACAACCAAGGTGACTGTTTCTGTTGCTGAAGACATTCTCTAGTCTCAGGTATCCCAGTGCAAAGGGAAACATGTTGTTGTTGTTATGTGCTGTGGAGTCGGTTCCGACTCATAGCGACCCTGTGCAGGGTTTCCGAGGCTGTAAATCTTTACAGAAAGCCTCATCTTTCTCCCGTGGAACAGCTGGTAGTTTCCAACTGCTGACCTTGTGTTTCCGCAGCCCAATTCGTAACCACTATGCTACCAAAGCTCCTTGGAAGGGAACTATACATGATAAGAATTCAGGCATTGAACTTCGCAAAAACAATAAAGGTGCCTTAGAAGACTTGCCTGGGGATTTGCTTCTGAAAGGTCACGGGCTTGAAAATACATGAGCAGTTCAACTCTCATACATGGGGTCAGCATGAGTTGGAATCTATACAACAGCAACTAAAATATGAACAAAATTACACTGAGACGTCTGACTGTAATCCTTAGTTCTACCTGCCACCCATATCAGTGGAGGATTATCAGTCTGGGGACTTTCAGTACTTGGAAGTATCCTCATCCTGTTCCCCTTATTTACAAGAGTGTTTTTGATGTGCTCCTTCCTACTGGATGTATCAATAAGAGATTATCCACTGTGTCTTTGCCCCTTCCCCAAACCCCCTGATATCTGAAATATTATTGTTTAACTCTGTGTTTCACTATCAATTAAAGTAAGAAAGCTTAAAAAAAAAAAAAAAAGAATTCAGCCATTGAGAAGAGTCCTGCTTTGAGCACTGTAACAGCATATTGTCTTAGTGCGTACGGAGACTTCCGGAAATCCTAGACAGAAGGGGTGGCGGACAAAGACAAGGTCCAGGAGACATTTGGTTCCCCTTGCTACTAAACCCGGAGACCAGGCATCACAACTACCTTTTTGAGCACCAAAGGCAGTGAGGTCTCTCGTTGCGGGCCCTCAACAATCTCAGCATTTTCCAGCACCGCAGACTTGTTCATGATCACAGTCACAAAGAGGTCATACTTCAGCAGCTGCCTCAGCAAACCTAGGGAGCAAAGGGAAAGGGGAGTGAAGTAAGAGGAACACATGTACCAGGACTGAAAAAAAACAATAGCAGACAACCTGAGATTACCATATATGACAACACTACCCCAACTCAATCCAGATAGAGAAGTATTTAAAGTAAAATGAACCTACAAGACTAAAAATAAGGAACCAGAGGTATCAATTGATAATGAAGTCAACTACAAAGCAAAATGAGGGAATAGTGTAGATACAGAACTTCCAATTGGCAAGGAAATCAAGTAGATTTCAAGATAAAGCAGACTGTTTTAATATGGGGGGAAATTAATAAATGACAGGGTTCGGGTTAGAAAATTTTTTAAAAAGAGGAAAATCAGAAATATTTAGTAAAGATTAATGCAACAGAAATGACAATTAAAACCCACAAAATAAAAAAGCCCACAGCAAAATGACAGCAATCAATTCATATCTATTGATAATTACATTGAATGTAAATGGATTAAATGTACCAGTTCAGAGACAAAGAAAACAGAATGGATAAGAAACAGGATCATTCGATAGGCTGTCTACAAGAGACACATCAAAAAGATGGAAACAGTCTTAAATACCCATCAACAGAAGAAGAGTTAAACAAACTTTGGTCCATACATACAATGGAATACTACGTAGTGCTGAAGAATAACAATGAATCTGAGAATCACTTTAAAACATGAATGAACCTGGAGGACATTATGCTGAATGAAATTGCTATTGTTGTTAGGTGCCACTGAGTGATATTAGTCAATCACAAAAGGACTAATACTGACTTATGAGATGAATAGTATAAAAAGTTAAGAAGTTTTCTTAATAAAGGAAAAAAATCTATGATGTTAAGTGCCATCGAGTTCATTCCAATTCACAGTGACCCTGTACAGAGTTTCCAAGGAGTGGCTGGTGAGCTTGAACCACCAACCTTGTAGTTTAAACTGACCTTGCAGTCCAGCGCATTAACCCACAGCACCACACCAAGACTCCTGGGCTAGAGGGCAGACACATGTAGACACATGTTAACATGGACGAAAGAGCAGGCAATACACAACAAGAGGGAGGTTAGCAAAGGAAAGATGAAGGTAGCAGGAGGCACAGGGAGGAATGCAATAATTAAAGTGCATAGGGGTAAATATATGCTGTTACCTGTTGGTACCTGGAGGGGATTGCAATCATTGTAAGGAAGCAAAGTATATGATGTGTCGAAGGTGAAACTGATGATCCGCTCTATAAACCTTCACTCAAATCACAATAAAAAGTGTTTTATTGAACTGCATGATAGAAAATTAATGCTAATATAAAATGACGTTAAAAAGAAAGATCACAGGTCTTGGGAAAGCAGAGGAGCCATCGACTCCACCTGAAGGTTCAGGTAAGATTTCTAGAAAAGGAAGAAACTGGACCCAAATCTTGAAGGATAAGAAGTCAAGAAAGAGAGCCAACTTCTTCAGAGCAGAGACAAGAGGGTGAATAAAGCAGGGGATTAGGTGTGTCCCTGGCGATGCTCTTGGTTCCGTAAGGCTGTTTTGGGTCAGAGTGAAACATAAAGAGAGCAGTGAAGCTGGAGACATAAAGGCAGGCTAGATACCAGAACACTGGAAGGATCTCGTTAGACTAAATGGATAAGATGATACATAACAGAATATAAGACACACAGACAGCACTTGGAGGGTTTGGGTCAAGGATGGATCACACATCTGGCTGGGGGGAACAGGTGGGAAGGAAAGGCTGCACAGAAGACATGACATGGCATTTAAAATGGGACTCCCCCATCTACCCACCCCCACCCCATTCCATAACTTAACTGTCTGCCAAACAACTTTCAGACAGGCCTATAAGGCTAACAATCACACCAGGGAGGTACCTACTCTTTCGAAAAATCAGCCACAGGAGATCAAAAAGGTAGCATTTGCGCAAGGAGAAAGCTCAGAAGGCTGGCAGGGTAGGAGGGCAGAACAAGGGGAAACAGTAAACCCTGGGAGAAAGTGGAAAGAGGGCAGCGACACTGTGGAGACTGCAATCCACGCCACAAATACAATGTGTGCGAATGACTGAATGGAAAACCAGTGTGCTCTGTAAACTTTCACCCACACCACATTAAAATGTTTAAAATAATAATAATAAAGTAAAAATAAATCAATAAAATGGGACTTCCAGCTGAGATTTCCCTCTGTTATGCCCAGTCTAACTAACTCCTAGGACAGTCCAGGGCTTCTCCTTTGCACCTACATGTCCACTTTACGCTTCAAGTCCTCTTACTACCCCAGTCTAAGTTCCCTGCCTTGTCTTCTGCCTTGTGCTTTTCTTTCGTTGCTCCATTCCTCCCTCTCCAGGCCAAAGCCTACTCACACCAAGGACTCAGTCCCAGCATCCTTTCCTTGAGGAAGCTTCTCCTGTTCTGAACTCCCACCCTATTCTATGCAATTCCTGTAACTGCTCTTACCACACTCTTCTCACTCTGTTCCCACATCTGTCTGCCACGCTAGCCTGTGAACTCTCCCACTATAGCTTGTGACTCAGGGTCCAGGCCAGGCACGGCCCAGAATGAATGCTCACCACAGGGAGGTGCACTGTTTTGCATAGTTGTGGAAAGAAGCTATTGACCCCCATGGACTCTGTTTTCCCTCACACAGTCAACAATCCCAGTGCCTATCTGCTTTGTCCAAAATACAAACCTTCCTGCCCAGAACACTTCCTAGATCTTACGTACTTATGTAAGGAAGTAGCAGACGAGGCTGGAAGGACACCCTGGGCCTCCTAGAGTCTCAAACAACAATCAGAGAAACCTGGACTTAGCCCTAGAGGTCAGAGGGAACCATGGGAGATTTATGAGCAGGACACTGACAGGCAGTGAGCCGTGCAGTGTGGCAGAAAGTACAGGATGTGCTGGGCAGGCAGAGATCGAAGGCAGAAACTCTGCTCAGTCTAACTGGCCTTCCTGCTCTCTTGCCAACATCCTGAAAATGCATCTTTTACACGCTCTGTGCATCTTATCATCCCAGCCTGTGGTCCACCCTTTGCAAAGCACCAGACTTCTGAGCCATAAAGCAGCTACTATCTCAAGTCCTAAAGCCATCACTAGTTGCCACTGAATCGATTCTGACTCACAGTGACCCCATGTGTGTCAGAAGTACAACAATGCTCCAGAGGGTTTTCAACAGCTGATTTTTCAGAAATCGATAGCCAAGACTTTCTTCTGAAAAGATCTCTGGATGAGCTCAAATTGCCAGTCTTTGGGTTAGCAGCTAAGCACTGGATCATTTGCCCCATCTACAGTCGCCAAGTCCTAGAACAAATTCCTCCAAAGTGTGCCCCCTTTTTTCTCCAACCCATGTCTTACCCAAACAGTTGATCTGTAGCTCCTTTGTCTGAGCAGCAACCAGGGTGGAAAGGAAGGAGGAACACAACTTCTCCTGGAAGTGGCCTGAAAGCTTCTTGGCTGCCACTGGGGCTGCATATAGCTTACCATAGAGGTAGCAGATGGAAGCCTGCACCCCCTCATTGGGGTATGCCAGACCTCTCAACAGATAGTCCATCAGGTTACCTGTCCAGAAAACAACCCAGAAGCCAAAGGGATCTCAGTGCCAATTCCTATATGAAACCCCCAATGGAATAACACTGGTAATCCCCTACATTTGTAGATTTCCGGGAAGTTAGAAAGAACTTTCTTTGCATTATCATTTTCAATTGATCTTTATAAAACTTGTCTACCATAAATGCTTTCTGGGCACTTAATCAAAAGGGAAACACAATTTAGATAAGTTAAGTGATTTGCTCTTGGGTAAATCTTTAGTGCAATATTTATTTGCATCTTACTGACAGGAAAGAGGTGCTTCCATATTCCAAAATTAATTCCTCCTTTCATCCAAAAGAAAGGCTCTTAGTAGATCATTAATTGGGGTTTAAAAAATTAATGGAAGTAATACAAGATCAAGAGTCAAAATGCTGACCTTCTTCATACTGACCAACAAAGAACAGATTTTGTAGATGGGGAAACTGAGGCCTAGAAAAGGAAAGCAATGGTGTTCCCTGGCTTGCCCGGTGAACAGGCCGCCCAAATGGAAGTGATCAAAGCAAGCAAAAGCATCCTGACAGTTCTTCCCCAAAGTTACTCACCGTGCTCCAGCACAAGACGGTCTGCCAGCGCGGGGAGGGCATCCACCAACTTGCCCAGGAGGGTGAGGATGGCCAGGCTGTGTCGCATGGAGGGCATGTCACACAGCTGCAGAGAGGGAACACACTCCACTCTGTGAGGATCCAGGCAGATCCCCCACTAAAATGTATCTTGCCTAACCCTAACCAGCACCTCCACTAGCAATTGGCCTAACTAGCAGAGGAAATGTCCATCGTCCCACTTACACTGGGGACAGGGGACAGGGATGGAGTCTGAGTCCTGATTCCTCTCAGAGTCTTCAGTACACATTTGGTAAACTGAAACAAAATGATGATATTTTTAACTTCTACCGAATCAGAAACAAGAGGTGAAAGTCGGGAACTTCATGATCACAGAATGCTGGCTCAGTGCGAAAATTATATTGTTATTACTACTACTACTATTATCAAAGAGTCCTGGGGTGGCACTGTAGGATCACCACTGGACTGTTAACCACAAGGATGGCAGTTCAAACCCATCAACTATGAGTCATAACTGACTCAACGGCACTAAACAACAACTATTACTGAATGTGCTCTATGTACCAGGCACTATACTGGATGCTTTACAGGTATCGTCAATGTGTATGGCTTTATAGCTCACCTTTTCCACTGATTCACTGCAGCACTTTGGGCAGGATTCTTATCTCCTCTGACTGCAAATATAATAGTATCAATTTCATAGGATTATTGGAAGGACTTAAAGAGATATTACATGTAAAACACCTAACATAGTGCCTGGCATATAGAAAGTGCTCAGTAAATGTTGTTTTTAAGTGCCTTCAAGTCAGTTCCAACTCATCGCAACCCTGTACAGAGTTTTAAATCTCAGCGGGAGCAAATAGCCTCATCTTTCTCCTGTGGAGCAACTAGCAGGCTCAAACCATGGAGTGTGTGGTTGATAGACCAGTGCTTATTGTATGGAGCCACCACACTCCTCAATAAGTGGTGGTGGTGATGGTGTGCCATGGAGTCACTTCCAACTCATAGCAACCCTGTAGAGGGTTTCCAAGACTCTAAATCTTTACAGGAGTAGAAAAACTCATCTTTCTCCTGCAGAGCAACTAGTAAATTTGAACTGCTGACCTTGCAGTTAGCAGTCCAGCTCATAATCCACTATGAAGGGCTCCTTAAGTGACATTCTCATAAGTACTGATATAAATGCCATGGAAAATTCAATCAGATATATTAATTGCATGCATCACAAATATGGCATGCTAATTTTAATATGTTGTCGTTAGATGCCTTCAAGGTGGTTCTAACTTATAGTGACGCGATGTGCAATAAAAAGAAACACTGTCTGGTCATGTTTGAGCTCATTATTGCTGCTCCTCTATCAATTCAACTCGTTGGGGTCTTCCTTTTTCACTGACCCTCCACCATACCAAGCATGATGTTCTTTTCCAGGGACTGTCTCTCCTGACAACATGCCCAAAGAATGAAAGATGATGGTTTGAAGTCCTCACTTCTAAGGAGCATTCTGGTTGTACTTCCTCCAAGACAGATCTGTCTGTTCATTGTACTTTCAATATTCCTCACCAGTATCATAACTCAAATGCATCAATTCTTCTACAGTCTTCCTTATTCATTGTTCAACTTTCACATGCATATGTGGTTACTGAAACTACCACGGCTTGGGTCAGGCACACCTGAATCCTCAAACTGATACCTTTGCTGTTGAACACTCCTAAAGAGGTCTTGTGTAGCAGATTTGCCTAATACAATATGTCATTTGATTTCTTGACTGCTGCTTCCATGAGTATTGATGGATGAGCCAAGAAAAATGAAGTCTTTGACAACTTCAATCTTTTCTTCATTTGTCCTGATGCTATTTAATGATCCAGTGGTGAGGATTTCTGTTTTCTTTACATTGAGGCAAAACCCATACTGAAGTCTATGGTCTTTGATCTTCATCAGTAATATTTTTAAGTCCTCTTCGCTTTCAGCAAGTAAGGTTGTATCATTTGCAAATTGCAGGTTGTTAATGAGTCTTCCTCCAATCCTGATGCCACATTCTTCATATAATCCAGCTTCTCAGATTATTTACACAGCATACAGATTGAGGTAAGTATGGTGGAAGGACACAACCCTGGCACACACCTTTCCTGATTTTAAACCATTCAGTGTCCCCTTGTTGTGTTTGAACAACTGCCTCTTGGTCTATACAGTTTCATCATGAGCACTAAGACGTGTACCGGAATACCCATTCTTTGCAATGTTATCCACAGCTTGTCACAATCCACATAGTCGAATGCCTCTTCATAGTCAATAAAGCATAAGCAAACATCTTTCTGGTATTCTCTGGTTTTAGCCACAATCTATCTGACATCAACAATGATATCTCTCATTCCACATCCTCTTCTGAATCTGGTTTGAATTTCTAGCAGCTCTTTGCTGATGTTGCAATTGTTTTTTAATTATCTCAAGCAATATTTCACTTGTATGTGATATTTTTTGATGATTCTTTCTTTGCCCATCTTTCTTTGGCAAAGTAGCTATCTTCCAGAATTCTTAGCATATACAAGTGAGCATCTCCAATGTTGCATCAGTTTGTTGAAACATTTCAATTTATATTCCATCAATTCTTGGATTCTTGCATTTTGCCAATGCAAAGAAGTCCAGTGCAACGTAGACTTCTTCCTTCAATACTATCAGCTCTTGCTCCTATGCTATCTCTTGAAACGGTTGTGCGTCGACTGATTCGTTTTGGTATGGTGACTCTGCATTCCTTTCATCTTCTTTTGATGCTTGATGCTTCTTCCGTCAGTATCACTGATAGAATCCATCAATATTTCACATCAAGGCAGTTCTTCAGTTCTTTCAACCTGATAAATGCTGAGTGTGTTCTTCCCTTTCAACTTTCTTAACTCCAGGTCTTTGCATATTTCATTATAATAATTGACTTGGTCTTCTCGAGCAATCTTTTGAACTTTTCTGTTCAGTTCTTTTGCTTCCTTGTTTCTTCCTGTTTGCTTTAGCTTCTCTATGCTCAAGAACAACTTTCAGAGTCTTTTGTGACATCTACTTTGGTCTTTCCTTTATTTCCTGTCCTTTAAATGATCTTTTGCTTTATTCATGAATGATGTTCTTAACGTCATCTCATAACTTTTCTGGTCTTCGATCATTAGTGTATAATGCACCCAATCTGTTCTTAAGATAGTCTCTAAATTCAGGTACAATGTTTTCAAGGTCATATTTTGGTTCTGGTGGACTTGTTTTCATTTTCAGCTTCAATCTGAACTTGCATATGAACAACGGTAGTCTGTTCCACAGTAGGCCCCTGATCTTGTTTTGGTTGACGATATTGAGCTTTTCCATTGTCTCTTCCCACAGATGTAGTAAATTCAATTCCTGTGAATTTCAACTGGTGAGGTCCATGTATATAGTTGCCTTTTATGTTCTTGAAGAAGTTGCCTTTTATGTTCTTTTATGTTCTTATTCATTTTCAATGAATAAGTCGTTGGTCTTGCAAAATTCCATCATGCAATCTCCAGCATCATTTTTGTCACCAAGGTAATATTTTGCAATTACTGATACTTCTTTTTTTCCAATTTTTGCATTCTAATCACCAGTAATTATCAAGGCATCTTGAGTGCATGTTTGATCCATTTTAGACTGAAGAAGTTCATAGACTTTTTCAATTTTAACATAATTTATACTTCATGGTCTTAAGATGAACATTTGTCTTCCTTTTGAAACATAAACATGTTCTGATATTATTTCTAAATATTAAACACAATCCAAAAGCTGATAGTTTACATGATATCTTTGAGTACAATGAAAGAAACACATTAACATACCCATCTAGTGCTTACCTTAATGCTGATAAAGAAAGTTAAATGCTTTCAGTATAAAGTAATATATAAAATTAAAGACCAAATAAACATCCAATGGAGACATAGTAAACATCTTTCCCTTGACACATTCATGAGTGAAAATCAATTTCTGCATCTAGGACAGAGAATGGTTATGCAAGAACAATGTGACTTCTTGCAATGAAACAAATATAAAACCGATGTTCCCCCATATAAACTATCACTCAATTCACAATAAAAACTTCAAGAAAAGAATATTGTGATTTTATCACAGGGAGGCAACATTTGGGAGACTGAAAGAGTGAGGAAGGGTGTGGGACAGGACCAGAAGGCCCAGGCCCTACCTCTGGCTCTGATACTGACTCAAGAAACCTCAAGCAAGTGAGGTTTTCATCTCTGGACTTTAGTCTCCCCATCTCCCTAAAGAAGGGGCTGTCCTGGCACTGACCCATGGGGACTCTGAGGGTGCTCAAGAAGCCAGTGTAATTTACTAACCTCTCTGTGGCATTCACCCAGCAGGCAATCCGTGGTCTGCTCCAGATTCAGCTGCGTTATAAGCTGGATAAGGACTAAGCAAACATAACAGCATCACTGACCAGAAAACAACATTTGACTAGAATTCACCTGTCAGAGCCCTTCTCCTCAACATCAATGCAGGACAGTAGTTTGTTTATGTTACTTGGCATTTGTACACATCCAAACCAAAAGGGCTGTTGGCTTCATCTTGTTTTGTATCACTGAGTCTCAATTCAAGCTGTGCATTAGAATCACCTGTAGTGGTTTGGGGCCACTGAGTCCATTCCAACTCATAGCAACTCATGTGTGCCAAGCAGACTTGCTCCACAGGGTTTTCAAGGCTGTGGCCTTTCAGAAACAAATCACCAAGCCGGTCTTCTGGGGTGCCTCTGAGTAGATACAAACTACCAACCTTGCAGCTAGTAGCCAAGCACTTAACCACGGTGCCACCAGGAAGCTTTTAAAAATAGCAATCCCAAAGTCCCACCCTAGAACTATCACACCTAGGGCAAAAGTCCAAGCATCTGAATTTTTTTTTTTTAATCCCAAGTGAGACTACTGTGAGACTAGGATTTATTTTAAATGATTTCACATTATCTGCACTGTTTCCCAGGTATCCTGGAGCTACAGTGGCTAGACGGTTCGACTGCTAACCGAATGGTTGGCAATGGGAAACTTTCAGCTGACTCATGGGAGACAGATATGGCCGTGTGCTTCTGTAAAGATGGCAGCCCTGGGAACCCTGTGGAGCAGTCCTGCTCTGTCCGGTAGGACTGCTATGTGTCAGAATGAACTCCACGGCAGTGGGGTTGACGTGTACTTTTTTCCCTTCTGATACCAGCTCCTAAAGAGCTCTGGTAGCAAAGTGGTTATGAATCCGTCTGCTAATCTCAAAGTCAACAGTTCAAAACTACTAGCTGTTCCACAGGACAGAGATAAGGCTTTCTGCTCCTGTACAAACACTGCACAGGGTCGCTATGAGTCAGAACCGACTCCACAGCACACAACCACCACCACCATGCCAGCTGCTCCTCGGAAACCCTATATGGGTTCACTATGAGTCAGAGCAGACTCGACAGCACTTAACAACAGTAAATACAAGAAAGAAGAAATATAAGAGAATTTCTATGCCAACTGTTAAGATATTGTTTCTCAGCTACACAATCTTTTTTTTATGATTATACTAGTGACTTGGGTGGAGGGGGTTGGGGAAGAGAGGGAGATGAGGCTGGTTCTACACGTGCTGGAAAAGCTACAAACCAGATTCAGCTGCTGCTGTGGGGCAGCTCTGCCTTGCCAGGAAGAGAAGCATTCTAGAACACTCACAGAAAAACAGGACGCAGGTAGGAAGTAAACAAAACACAGTGAGGAACAAGCAAGTGCTTTTTCTCCTGGCAGCCCTGCAATCTCTTACTAGTGCCCCACAACTTCGAGCTCAGCTGGTTTAATCCTTTTGTAAGCCATGGGACCTCCACGTTCTGTTTCTAGGGTTTAGTGAAAAGACATATCCCACCTTTGGTGTGTACTGCCATCTAGTGGATACCTACATAACCGCAGGATCTGAAGACATGCGCTTCATCCCACCAATCTCAGTACCGGAAACCCTTCAGAACATATTTGTCCCACTGTTGTTGTTGTTAAGTACCGTGGAGTCGGTTCTGACTCATAGTGACCCTACACAGGGTTTCTGAGGCTGTAAATCTTTACGGAAGCAGAAAGCCTTATCTTTCTCCCGCAGAACGGCTGGTAGTTTTGAACTGCCCACTTTGAGGTTAGCAGCCCGATTTGTAACCACTACACTACTAGAGCTCTTGTATAGAAATCTGTATTACATCAAAAAATGTTTCTCATTTCATTAAAAATACCTTTCATCACTGAAAACACGATTTCAACAACAAAACTTTATAGCAGAACATAATTAGGTCTCGAAAGAGTTAAAGGTCTCGGTTTCTTAGGGAAGAATGCTTCCATGAGAAGATACAAAGGCTTTGTTGATACTACCACCTGGCCATTCTGAGATACTACTGCTACTGAATCAAGAAGCAAAGAAGTGACTACTTTACCATCTAGTGATTGATCTCAGTAAGCAGCGGAAACTGGGTTTCTGGGAACAATAAAGGCAAAGGGAGACTGTCTGGAGAATCACACCAACTTAGTGAAAACCCCAACCAGTGGAGATCCTTGCAGAAGGCAGAAATAAGTGCCTCCGTGGGATGGGTAAAAGAAGGAAATGATAAATATTAACTATGGTCTTGTGTCCAGTTATGGAAAGGAACACTACGTATAGTTAATTGTGGTTTTCTTCTTCTCCCTCCACTTTTCATTCTCTTTATTACCTGTACAAATTTCATCGCAGGTTAACTTTATAATTTACTTTTCAAGTAACAGAATATTGAAATGGGACTGTGACTAAATTTAGAAACTTACTATATGACCAAGACATGGATAATATGACAGTCTTTCAGAAGAAATAAACATAATTATTTGAACTTTTCATCTCCTTGGAGAAAATGACTTTGTTTTGTATGCATTCTGTATATAGCAGAGCTTTGCATCTTGTTAGGCCAAACCAAGTTCTTTCTGTTGTTCTATGTAAGTTTGAATATGTGTAAAAAGGTGTGAGAGGGTGACGATCAGCCAACACAATGGGACACTTATTATGTTCTTGTCTTCTCAGCTCAAAATCCACTCTTCTGTCCTTCGCTGAGATGCTGGTCTTGGAGCTCAGCAAATCACATCTCTGCTTTTCTAGACGGCCCACAGTTAGGCTCTGCTAAGAGATGGAGGGGCTTTTGGAAGAAGCGACTTAGTCCCTCTTCTTTAGGGTTCTTCTACTACTTCTTTTTTCTTCTACTTCTTATTTCTGTGAGTGTCACCTTAACACCTCTTCACCACCAATGGCAATGTCTTCCCCTAAAAGTATCTGAGTCCAGTTGGCAATTTTGTAGTCTCTGTCCCATCATATCCCTCCTCTGCCAGAGACACCAGCATCATCCAGTCAGTGCCTCTCCTCAGAGGTCTGGTCCAGCCCATTGGGACCCTTCCTCCAAACAGCTAAGGTTTAATCATTCCTACCTCTTCCCTTTGTTCCCCCTCCCCTAGGGATGGGACCTGCTTTCTGTGACTGCTACCTCCATGAAAACCTGGTGTTCTCTTTTTTGCCTCTTCGGTTACCTAGCTAAATTCTTTTTTTTTTTTAAAAAAAGATATAAGGCATGAAAGTTGCCATTTTATCCATTCTTAAGTATACAATTCAATGGCATTAAATACAGTCACAAGATAGTGCATGTATTTCCTAAACCTTAGTTTTTTCAAAACCTTAAACAGAAATTCCATACCTATTAAGCAATAATTCCCCCTTCTCCTCTCTCCTTAGTACCTGGCAACCAGTAATCTATTTCCTGTCTTTATGAATTGTCCTATTCTAGATACATATGTCAAGGAGCTCTGGTAGCTTAGTGGTTACGAGTCGGGCTGCTAACCTCAAGGTCAGGAATTCTAAACTACCAGCAGTTCTACAGGAGAAAGATGAGGCTTTCTGCTCCCATAAAGATTTACAGCCTCAGAAACCCTGTACAGGGTCGCTATGAGTCAGAACTGACTCCACGGCACACCACCACCACCACTACCATACACATATGTCATATAAGTGGGATCATACAGTATTTATCCTTTTCTGTCTGACTTATTTCATTTAGCATAGTATTTTCAATGTTTATCCTCAGAGACCCTCACATGGCCCTAAACGGTATAATATTCCACTGTATGTATGTAGTCCATTTTGTTTAACAACTCATCTGTTGATGGATATTGAGTTATTTCTAGCTTTTGGGTCTTGTGAATGATGCTGGTAGGACCACACTGGTGTGCAAATATTTCTTTGACTCCCTGTTTTCAGTTCTTTGGGGTTTATTTCTATGAATAGACTTGCTGGGTCATATGGTAATTCTCTGTAAAAATTATTTATATTACAGTTGCTGCTTTCTTCTGTGTAAATAACTCATATAGTTTCTGTTTCCTGCCTGGGCCCTAACTGATTCTCACTCTCTGCTGGAACTGAAGCCCTCCCATCCCAGTTCTCTTGCTTTCTTTCTTTTAAAAGCCTTTTACAGGTAAATCCACGCACTTATACAGCTTTAACCACTACCTATTGCAGACGACGTCCAACCAACCAATATGAAATGTAATAAAAATAGTTTTGCATATGTCTTTGTAGTAACAATGATCAACTCAGGCTATTTACAAGACAGCATCTTCTCCAGCAGTAAGGCAGGAACCATGTTGTACTCATCTACGTTGATAGAAGCACAAAGTAGGTGCCCAATAAAGACATACTGAATTACTGACTGACAGCTAATTGAACTCTCTTTTTCTGCCTCTAAGTAGATCATGTCACCAAAGTAGATCATGTCACCAAAGTCTCAAGTTACCATAGCTGCAATTCATGCTAATATCCTTAGCTTCAAATGTTAAGTACACAAGTTTCACCTTACCTTCAATACAGAGGTCTTTTGCACTTCCATCTTCAGCCTGGCATAACAGTCCTTGGAGGAGAGGAGGATAAATAGGGAGTGGTTAATGGTTAAATTGAGTCCTGCTGCGGTACTCTGGGATAAAGCACTGGACTGCAAGGTGGGTGTGAGCTGCAAGGTCCTCGGTTCAAACCCACCAGCTGCTCCTCGGAAACCCTATACAGGGTCTCTATGAGTCAGAGCTGACTGAATGGCACTTAAGAATAACAACAACAACAACAAAAAGAATAACAACAAATGGTTTAAAAAAGAGAGAGAGACAGAAACACAACTCACAAAGGTACACTGTGAATTCTAAAACTAACAACAACTTTAAGCTATGTTGTTGTTGCTAAGCGCCACTGAGTCAGTGCTGGCTCATAGACACTGTATAGGTAGGGCTTCCAAGGAGTGGCTGGTGGGTTTGAACCACCAACTTTGTGGTTAGCAGTCCAGTGCTGATCCTCACTGCCACAACAGGACTGCTGCCTTAAGCTATTTCCCAGCTAACTTCTACCCTCAGCTTCAAATACTTAAGACTTTTAAAGGCTCATCTGGCTTTAAACAGTAAGCACTCAGTGTATTTTAAAAAAGAACTAATCCTTTAAAAGTCACCTAGTCAATTCTGACTCATCGCAACCCTAAAGGGCAGAGCAGGACTGCTCCACAGGGATTCCAAGGCTGTAAATCTTCTTGGAAGAAGATTGCCACAGCTTCCTGCCACAGAGCTGTTGGTCAGTTCGAACTGTTAAATCCAAGTGCTTTAACCACTACATCACCTAAACTCCTTACCAAAGCACAGGTTAGGATTTACAACACATATGTGGGGACATAATTCAATCACGGAGTGGGGTTAATGTGTTGGGACTGCAAAGTTGGTTTGAACCACAAGGTCAGTGGTTCAAACTCATCAGCTGCTCCTCGGAAACCCTATACAGAGTTGCTCTGGGTCAGAACTGACTCGACAGCACTTAACAACAATTCAATCACAACACCTTCCCTCTTCCCAGAAGTGCTCACTCTATAAGACATGGTAACCATATTAAAATAAAGGACTGAAATAAAATTTTAATTCATCTCATTTTACAAATGAGGAGTCCTGGTGTGGTGTGGGGCTGCAGGGTAAACACTGGACTGCTCACCACAAGATCGGCAGTTCAAACCCACCCACCGCTCCTCGGAAACCCTATACAGGGTTGCTATGAGTCAGAACCAACTCAACAGCACTTAACAACAACAACAATTTTATAAATGAGAAAACTAAGGCACAGTAGAGGAGAGGTGACTCGATCAGGGTCACAGCTGGTCAGTGACTCCAGCCCAGACCTCAGGTGTACTAAGGTCTCATGCAAAGACCACATGTATGTGACTCTTTGAAGGCTTACTGATTTCCCCTAATCACCCCCACACATTACTGACCTCTTAGCGCCAGTGAAGTGAAGCCAGTTACCATATCATGCAAAATCTATCTTAAACCGGGAGCTGTTGGTTCACCATTATTGCAAAACAATTTGCTAATAAGTTAAACTATGAAAAATCTAAACTTGCTTCTCCAGGGCTCCAAAAGCAGACCACCTTATTCATGTGAATAAGTTTCATGCCGTTTCCCTTGAAACTCACCAAAAAGCATGTTGATAAAGTGGACGCTGACACTCTGGTCCTCAGCCACCAGTTGCATGACAAGGGAGCTATGCCTTAAGAGGGCATCTCGGAAGCAGGACAGCACATGTTTCTTACGGACCAACTTGGGGAAGAAGGAGAAAATTAGTCTTCAGTAGCAACTAACTCTTAATTGTGCTGAACCTGAGCAATTGCAATTTCCAAATATAATTACAAGATGGTACCAGAGCAGTTGGCTCCACTGTGGTAAGATCCATACTCATAAAGGGCTTTTGGAAAAAAAGAAGTATTTACACACAGGGATCCATGTGCTTGTGCAGATTCTACATGAGCTGAGGGTCCTGACAGCCTATATTTGCCCAGCACTGTGACTGTTCACAAGTCACTCTGTTGTTCACTAGCTCATGTAAGCTGAACAAATCAGCAAAGCAAGCAAAAACAATTATTATCATCACAATTCTGGAAATGAGAAAATTAAGGTTCCAAGAATTTCCTAAGTCCAGTCTTGCCCATTGCTCTTTCCACTTCAACAGTCAGGGGGTACAGTATTGGGAACCCTCTAACTTAGAGCACAGGAGCCTCACAGGTAGAGAAAATACACTCTTGCATTCAAAATAAAAAAATGACCCCATAGGACACAGGAGAACTGCTTCTTAGGATTTCAGAGACTACATCTTTACAGGAGCAGATAACCTCATCTTTCTACTACAGAACAACTGGAGGGTTTGAACTGGTGACCTTTCAGTTAGCAGCCAATACTTTACCCACTCTGCCGCCAAGGCTGCTTCCTTCCATTCAAGGTAGGCATAAACTCTCATGCTAAAGTCAGGAGAATGTGGACTAGCTGTGCAGAGGGCTCAAGAGTATTGGGTCAAAGGTGGGTCCAAAAAAAAGCAGAGGATAGGACAGGAACACAACACAGGTAAAGCGGATGACGTCACCCCTCCAGGGAGTGAGGCTAAGAAAAGCTCATTCAGTAAAAGACTGTGAAGTTGCATCTCTGAGTGCCTCTGATCTACACCAGTGCAAGTCTCCTGTACCCCTTTCACTGATACTACATAGTGGATTAACGTTCTAAATGAGCTACTCAGAAAATCTCAAAATCTCCTTAGCTTGGATTCAAATATTCAAGGAACTGATCCCAACCTGGCTCTCCAATCTTATCTCCCACAACTTCCTTTAAAACAGTTATTATGACCCAAACACATCCTTGCTAACACTAGCTACCTACTGAAATTGGCTCGCGTATCTCCTCCAAGCCAAATTTCACCCATCTTCTCAAGACTGATTCAAATCCTTCCTCCTAGCTCTCTAAGAAGCCTTTCCTAATTTGCCTCCATGAGGGTTCATGGCTATAAACAGTATGTCTGTTTCCTACATTTCCTGCAATGTGTTTGTTCACTCACTCTCTCCCCTGCTGCACTCTCCTGTTGGTAGTGGTGGTGTGCCTTGGAGCAGGTTCCAACTCACAGGGTTTCCGCAGGCTCACGGAAACAGAATGGCTGGTAGTTTCGAACTGCTGGCCTTGAGGTTGTTAGCAGCCCGACTCTTAACCACTAAACTACCAGAGCTGCACTGTTTTCTTTGGCTCTATATCCCTATCTCACTGTTCAAGAAACTTCAGAGATTATTTACCAGTCCAGCTTTTCTCAGGGTCTGGTGTAGGAATCCTTGAGGTTCCCTGGACCATTTCAGGGGTCCACAAGGTTAAAATTATTTTCAGAATAAAATGTTACTTGCGTTTCCCACAAGTGTACAGCAGAATTTTCCAGAGGAAGTCTGATATAGCGCTGTGGGTTAATGCGCCAGGCTGCAAAGCCGTGTGACCTGCAAGGTCGGTGGTTCAAGCTCACCAGCTGCTCCTCGGAAACCCTATACAGACAGGGTCACTACGGGTTCGAATCTACTTGATGGCACTTAACAACAACATATGGCATGTGATCTCACAACACATTGAACACAGATAAGAGCCCAGCTATCCTTTATAAGAAGTCCTGGCATGGTGCTGTACATTAGTGCACTAGACTGCAAGGTCGGTGGTTCAAGTTCACCAGCCTCTTACTAAGAAACCCTCTACAATGTCACTATGAGTAGAATAAAGTCAGATATTGAAGAGGCTTGCAAACATCTTAAACAAAGCTATTATTTTCACAAGTTTTTTTGTTTCTTTTTAAAGATTACTTATGTTACTATCTAATGGATGTACTACTATTTTTTACGAAAATAAGTTACTTTAAATTTTTGTTTTAATTTCAATTAATTTTTTATTTCAGAGTCCTAGTGTGGCGATGCAAGGAGCTCTGGTAGCATAGTAGTTATGAATCAGGCTGCAAACCTTAAGGTCAGCAGTTCAAAACTAGCAGCCACTCCGCGGGAGAAAGATGAGGCTTTCTGCTCCGGTAAAGATTAACAGCCTCGGAAACCCTGTACAGGGTCGCTATGGGTTGGAACCCATTCCACGGCATGTAACAACAGTGTGGCGATGCGGTATAAAGTACTGGACCACAAGGTCCATTTGAACCACAAGGTCCATTTGAACCACAAGGTCGGCAGTTCAAACTCACCAGCCGTTTCTCGTTAACCTGGTACAAGGTTGCTGTTGAGTTGAACCGAATCAACAGCACTTAACGACAACAATAAAGCAAATATCAATGGCTAGAACCCACATAAACAAAGCTCTTCAGAGTTCGCAATCATCTTTACAAGTGCAAGGTATCCTGAGATGAAAACATTTGAGAACCACTGTAGTTCCACAGTGCCCCCACTCCCACCCCCCAAGACATGAGTTCCCCTCAGCAATGGGGGAAGTGATCTCCCTCACTCTTCTTAGATATCTGTTGTTGTTATGTGCCGTGGAGTCAGTTCCGACTCATAGCGACCCTGTTCGGGTTCCCGAGGCTGTAAATCTTTACAGGAGCAGAAAGCCTCATCGTTCTCCCGTGGAACAGCTGGTGGTGGTTTCGAACTGCTGATCCTGAGGTTCGCAGCCCGATTCATAACCACTACGCTAGCAGAATTCCTTTCTTGGATATTTACATAATAGAGGAAAAACGCTCTGAAAAGACAGTGTTTTAGAAACGGGGGTCAGGGAACAGGCAGCCCATGTTTCAGGCAGCTCTGCGGATCCGAAGGGTCTTGTCCTTTACCCCCTCCTGGTGGTGGCGCTGGGGGTTAGCGGGCCAGACTGCAAAGTCGTTTGAATTGCAAAGTCGGTGGTTCAAGCTCACCAGTCACTCCTGGGAAACCCTGTACAGGGTCGCTATGGGTCGGAGCCGACTCGACGGCACTTCACAACAATCCTGCTGCCAGTGGCCAGGGCAGCCCCCTCCTGCACACTGACACCCCCAGCCTCCTGGGGAGTGTGCCCTCGAGTCTGAGCTAACTAACGCTCCATTTTGGAAAAATGGAATTGCACTAAGCAAACGGCAGGGTGGGTGCCAGTGAGGCTTGATGGGGTGCTGGGGGTGGGGGTGCTCCAGAGGGATGGGCCTGGTTTCAAAAGGGGCTCCATTGGCGCAGCGCAGGGCCCTAGCAGGGGGGACTGGGGGCTGGGGGGCTCAGCAAAGAAGGCAGCTCCGGTCAGGTGAGGCGGGACAAGCCTAGTTGGTTTAGGGGTAAGATTTAACAAGGTGAGTGGGCCTAGATTCGTTTCAGGGGAGGTGAGTACAGGTCAAGGGGGTTTGTACGACATGCGTCCGCCCAGCGTGCAGAGGGGACTGCCTGGGCTGGGTCTCCACCCCCCACCCCACCCCCGGGGATAACGCCTCGCGCACCGACACGCCGGGCTCTGGCAGCAGCTCCACGAGGCAGGCCAGGCAGAGGCGCGGGGTCACGGGCAGCAGCCAGCGCGGGTCGTGCCGGTAATGGACCTTCTCGAACAGCAGAATCGACTCCTCGTGCCTCCCGAGCCCTGGAGAATCCGCCGCCGCCGCCGTGTCTCTCACAGCCATCTCCAACTCGCACCTTGCAGCCGCGGCACCGCTTCCCGCGCTGTGTGAGCGCAAGCGCACATGGAAGAAAAGCCAGCCACTATGTGTGTGTACTACGCCTGCGCGGACTGAGTTCGCCGCAGTCTCTACGGAGCAGCGGTGCCTGAGGGCGAGTGTCAGACGAAAGAACTCTGTAATTAAAGGAGCGCTGGTAGCTTCTTCTTGTTGTTATGTGCCGTGGAGTCGGTTCCGACGCATAGCGACCCTGTACAGGGTTTCCAAGGCTGTAAATCTTTACGGGAGCAGAAAACCTCGTCTTTCTCCCGCGGAACAGCTGGTAGTTTCCATCTGCTGACGGTGATATTAGCACCCTGATTATTAACCACTACGCTACCAGCGACCCTGTTACAAGGTTTCCGAGGAGCAGCTGTTGGCTAGCAGTCCAGTGCTTATCCTACAGCGCCACACCAGGACTCTTTTTAAAGTAGTCATCAGCATTGAAAAATAAAGGAAAAGAAAGGTAGCTAAGTGAGTTGCGCACTGGGCTGTTAATCACAAGGTCAACAGTTCGAATCTACCAGTTGTTCCACAGGAGAAAGATAAAACTTTCTGGTCCTGTAAAGATTTAGTCTTGGAAACCTTATGCCCGGTCGCTATGTGTCAGAACCGACTTGCTGACACACAAACCGATTACCATGGAATCATTCTGACTCACAGCAACCTTAGATCACAGTAGAACTGCCCCCACCCAAAATTGGGTTTCCAAGGCTGCAATCTGTATGGAAACCAACTGTCAAGTGCTTGTTATCACATGCTTGTTGGTTTGAACCACTTTACCACCAAAGATCTTGTATTATAGTAAAGATTGTTGTAGTTGTTATGTGTGGGTGAGTCGGTACCGACTCTTAGTGACCCTGTATAGGGTTTCCAAGGAGCAGCTGGTGAGTTTGAACCACCAACCTAGGGCCAAAACCAACGTGCAGTCCATCGCATTAACCCACAGCGCCACATCAGGACTCCATAGTAAAGGTTGTTGTTATGTGTGCTGTGGAGTCGGTTCTGACTCATAGCAACCCTGCATAGAGTTTCCGAGGCTGTAAATCTTTTCGGGATCAGAAAGCCTCATCTTTCTCCTGCAGAACAGCTGGTAGTTTCTAACTGCTGTCCCTGAGGTTAGCAGCCTGGTTCATAACCACTCTTTTTTTGTGTGTGTATGAAT